CACCAACATTACCACAACAACCACCATGATCATCAACTATCATGAACAACATTACCATCAACAACACTACCACCCCCTACCACTACCATCGCATCCCAACACAACCATCCCATCACAACCCCCACCACCATCCCCAACAATCACCACCACCCCCAACAATCACCACCAGTAACATCAAACCAAACATACTTCAGTAATGACGCACAACCAACAATAACAGCTTCATGCTTGTAATAATAACAAACACTCGACAACTACTGTACAAACATCTTACATGTCTGAAGTATAACCTGTCTACCTTCCAGCACGGTGGTGTCTCTCACACACACACACACACACTGCCCTGTGAGGAGAATGGTGTAAACCTCTCTCCCCCTACGCTGGTCAAGGTATATATTTAACACTTCCTGAATGAGACAAAATTATACAAGCGTTGTACACCTTTAGTATGTGATGAGTCCAGCTAGGAATAGTAAAGGTGGGAACACATAATAACGTTTATGGAAGAGCAGGAACCGAGCCGAGCCCAGCCCAGCCCAGCCCAGCCGCCGCCGTCTTGCCCGCCATGATAATCCGACACTCACAGATCGAGCAATATCTCAGGCCCGGCTCCCGCTCGTTACGCGGGCCAGGCTATACAGTATTTTATTTTAACGTTCTCCAATGGTGCAAAAGAGGCCGTGATCTGGAAGTACACACTGAGGAAACATGGGAATGGATCGCCTGCCGCTAAAATACCGCTCCTTCCTACACCATCAACCCACTCACCACTGATCATTAGCACCGCAGCAAACTCACATTTTAGGAAGAAGTGCTCCATATAAGGCATTACACTAGCGCCTCCTCACAAGCACCGCGATATAATAACACTCTCATAACTAGACACATCTCCAGTTCCGGGCCGTATTAGCGCCGGGCGGGACACACGGCACCACACGGGAAAAACGATAAAAACAGGAATGTTACGATGGGGTGAGCCACGCGGGGAGTATCTGAGCACACGGCTGTAATGAGCGTTGCTTTATCCCCGCCGAAAGGAGCAGAAAAAGAGGCGCTACATTCTTTAAGTAGATTTATACGCACTTAATTGGTGGAAGAGAGGCATTCTTGCATAAACTCACTCCAGCCGGGGGCGCCGACGGTGCTGGTGGTGGTGGTGGCTGGTGCTGGCAAGGGGGCCCACCACAACCTACTTCAGGGTCTCTCAGTGTTCGTCTGACCCCTAAGTATCGTCCCACAACTGATGGAAGATTGTTTCTCTTAAATAAACATTAATGAGCATTTCTACTTGAAGGAATTATGGAATTTTTTTTTCTCCGGTTGTTGCCAGACGAAGCTGATACTCGAGGTGGTGGTTGATGGGAACATTACAGCGTGTCTACGAGGGCCTGTCTGCCAGCCTCTGAACCTTGATGATATAGTGCATGCGTGCATTGCGTGCGTGAGTGCGTGCGTGCGTGCGATGCGTAGAGAAGACAACTCCATCAACCAAGTTTACACCATAATCTAAGAAAATCCAATTCGACAGTTTCAAAAATTGAATAAACATAAAAATATTACAAAGTCAACATCTTGGACGCACGCACGCACGCACGCGCGCGCACGCGCACACACGCGCGCGCACACACAGGCACAGACACACACACAGACACAGACACACACACACACACACTCACTCACTCACTCACTCACTCACTCTCTCTCTCTCGGACCAGACTCAACCCCTCCTAAGACACCCTTCACAGAATATACAGGGTGTCCATAAATGATTACCCTCATTAAAGCATGGTCTACCACTGCTTTGGGGTAATCATTTATGGACACCCTGTACTACTTTAAGTCCTCAAAGGCTCAACTCAGGTATTTTAGAAATCCTTAGCGACGATGGGTACACGATAAACAGCCTAACTGCTTCTTTAGCCTTCCTTAATACAGTAATTAGACAAGATCACATGTTTGTTTATTTACTCTTGTTTCCCCCGACCAGGTGTGACCGTGTCCCTCAGAAGAAGGTGTTGCTACGTAATAAGACACAAGTTGTTACCTGCTGTTACCTAGGATTTATATTATACTTACTATGTATATTTATCTACCTCTGTATATATATATATATATATATATATAATCAGAGGCCACAAACCACCATCACATCTATCAACCGATTTGTTATTATTCATGACATTTGTACACAGGAAAGTCAGCCAATTTTACCTCCATCAGACTGTAAAAAAGTTCTTTATAAGAGAGATATTAGAAAAGTTTTAGCTCTAAATACCACATTATATCACCTGCTTCAATAACATCAACACTAACCAAAAATCACATGTCGAGTGCACAGAATCCTTATGTGGGTTGATTATATCGTGAGAAAACCTTCAAATAATAATATAATAATTGTAAAAGAAGAAAAACTCATCTTTCCATATCAAGCTTGAAAAAACTATGGAATTATCCTTCAATCCACAATTCCTCCACTTACAAACAATAAACAATCACAAACAAACAGTAAATCATCTAATAAATTATAATGATGATCCACCTCTGATCCACACTTCCCTCCCCTGATCCACACCTCTCTCCCCTGATCCACACTTCTCTCCCTGATCCACACCTTCTCGATCCACCCTTCCCCTGATCCACACCCCCTGATCCACACTCCCCTGATCCACACCCCTACTCCCACGATCCACACCTCCTCTGATCCACTTCACCCACAGTGACCCAACAACACCTCCTACAGGATCACCACCCCAGAAAAAATACAAAAACATTCCCAACAAAAACCTAAAACTCAGGATCGAAATAACCCGTAAAACCCCTGAAAAAACCCTCCCCATTATAAAACCCCTGAAAACCCTGCCCCATTATAAAACCCCTGAAATCACCCTTATAAAAAAAATGAAAACTCCCAACCCTTCTAGAACTCCTGAGCCCCCTTATAAAAACCCCTGACCCGACCCTTATAAAACCCCACCCCCTTATAAAAACCATTAAACAACACCATCACTCCCTCCTAAACAATACCTTAATACTAATCAACAAACAACAACACCAACAACAGGCCTTGAATACCCACCTAAAATTCCCTTCCATCTCTAGAATATCATCCAGGGAACCCTATCTAAACTTTCTCCCTCTTGAAGCACCAGTCTGGAACGCCCTTCAAGTCCCTCTCTGGACACGCCACTATGGAGAGGCTTCTACCACCACTACCTGCAACACCAACAACAACAACTTCTGGGATTATGTATGTTTTTCTACTTTGTGTTATTGTGTTGTGGTGTTATGCTGTGTTGTGGTGTTTTGTGGTGTGTTGTGATATGTTGTGCTGTGTGATGATGTGATGTGATGTGTAATGATGTGTTATGTTATATTATGCTATGAGATGTACTCACAGATTGAAGTACTATGACACCTCATCGTCCCATATATTGTTAACATGGTGAAAATCTTCCCTCGTGGATAATGGCAAAAATAATAAAATCATGGATAATGGTAACAACCTTCCCTAAGACACAAAATGAATCTCCTCCAAAACTCTAACCAGGTTCCCTTAGATGAGAATGTTTTACACCTTTCATCCGAAGAAACATTCACAGCAGATTACAACAGCTGCCTCACCCTCCGCCCTATCTCAACATTCAACCAGAGAAACACATAATTAAACATCTTCTACCTCCTGGAGAACCAAGGCTAAACATTCACCTCCCGTCACATCTTGGTTATATCTTTCTTTACCTTACAATACTCTCTGATACACTCCATCTGTGACGCCCTCCTGATACACTCAAAACCCTGGGAAAACTTAAAAGCGATCTTCCAGCCAGCGAGACCGGGTTGCAGAGACCGGAGGCAACCCAAGACAATAATCTTAGCCTCTGATTATCATAGTGGCGGCTGGGAGATTAAGGGGAATTTTTATCTAGAAGCTGCGAGATTGATTGATTCCTGAGAGTCCCCAGAGACGCCTTCCGAGATATTTTGGCTCCCAGGAAATCAAGTTTAATGGTTGTCGAGCACACGGTTGCTTATCAATATAACTTTAATGAGTTAATTTGCCGTCGCTGGTATTGTTAAGGATAAAATATAGGAGTATATTGACTATTGTTGGTACAAGTGATATATTACTAAATATGTTTATCTTGAGTATATATATATATATATATATATATATATATATATATATATATACAAGTAAATCATCAGATGCTGATAAATATAAGGAAGAAACACGGTTGCAGCCCTGTATATATATATATATATATATATATATATATATATATATATATATATATATATATATATATATATATATATATATATATATATATATATGTGTGTGTGTGTGTGTGTGTGTGTGTTGTGCACACACACACACTCCATCATTCCCCATCACGAGTCAATCGACGGCCGCCGCAATAGTCGAAACAGCGGCGCCGTAACCCTCCAGACCCTTTGTCTTTACTAATGAATTGGCGGGAAAAATGGGGACGGAGGCGCGATTTCAATCTTGTGGGCCGTCAGGATTTGCGATTCAGTAATTAAAAAATAATTAATCCTCCCTAGCTGCTGTTTCTGTTGCTTCTGGAAGCGTCTCCTTGAGGCCATGGGTTGAGCTTACTCTCTGTGTATGGTGCTTGATATTATGTTAGGTGTCTTAATGCTCCGGACAACCCCCCCTCATCCATTAGTCGCCATCAAAGAGGATGAGAGGCGGGTAGGGGAGGGAGGCGGGGTCTGTGTGACATTCTGATTAACGTTTTGTTCATAAGTGATTGGAGTTGAGTTTGTTTGAGTGATTATAACATATTGTATATAAGCGGCGGAGAGTCATGGTCTTAGAGTAGAAGGAAATACAAATCATTAATGGAATATCAAAACACCTTTCATGCTCGGCTCTAGGTGTGACCGCCATCTAATAATTCAAACCAACATTAATTTTTATTGCAATCAAAATTACTAAGCTTGAACTATTAAACGAAATTCTATCTGTATCAAAGGCATCTTCAAGCTCCCCACCAGAAGACCTCAAGCTCCCCACCAGAAGACCTCAAGCTCCCCACCAGAAGACCTCAAGCTCCCACCAGAAGACCTCAGCTCCCCCACCAAGAAGACCTCAGCTCCTCCCACCAGAAGACCTCAGCTCCCTACCAGAAGACCTCAAGCTCCTCACCAGAAGATCTCAAGCTCCCCACCAGAGACCTCAAGCTACTCACCAGAAGACCTAGCTCCCCACCAGAAGACCTCCAAGCTACTCACCAGGAGACCTCAAGCTACTCACCAGAAGACCTCCAAGCTACTCACCAGAAGACCTCAAGCTACTCACCAGAAGACCTCAAGCTGCTCTGCCAGAGACCTAAAGTCCACCAGAGACCTCAAGCTACTCACCAGAGACCTCAAGCTACTCACCAGAGACCTCAAGCTCCCCACCAGAGGCCTCAAGCTCCCCACCAGAAGACCTCAAGCTACTCACCAGAAGACCTCAAGGCTCCCCACCAGAGACCTCAGCTCCCCACCAGAGCCTCAAGCTACTCACCAGAAGACCTCAAGCTCCCCACCAGAGACCTCAAGCTACTCACCAGAGACCTCAGCTGCTCACCAGGCCTCCAGCTCCCCCACCAGAAGACCTCAAGCTCCCCACCAGAAGACCTCAGCTCCCCACCAGAAGACCTCAAGCTCCCCACCAGAGACCTCAGCTCCCACCAGAAGACCTCAAGCTCCCCCACCAGGAGGCCTCAAGCTCCCACCAGAAGACCTAAGCTCTCCACCGAAGACCTCAAGCTCCCCCACCAGAAGACCTCAAGCTCCCCAGAAGACCTCAAGCTACTCACCAGAAGACCTCAAGCTCCCCACCGAAGACCTCAAGCTACTCACAGAAGACCTCAGCTCCCCACCGAAGACCTCAAGCTCCCCAGAAGACCTCAAGCTACCCACCAGAAGACCTCAAGCTCCCCCACCAAGAACCTCAGCTCCCACCAGAAGACCTCAAGCCTCACCAGAAGACCTCTGCTACTCACCAGAAGACCTCTGGGTTACTCACCAGAAGACCTCTGCTACTCACCAGAAGACCTCAAGCTCCTCACACCAGAAGACCTCAAGCTCCCCACCAGAAGACCTCAAGCTACTCACCAGAAGACCTCAAGCTCCCAGAAGAGACTCAAGCTCCCCACCAGAAGACTAAGCTACTCACCCAGAAGACCTCAAGCTCCCCACCAGAAAGGTTACTCACCAGAAGACCCCTGCTACTCACCAGAAGACCTCAAGATACTCATCACCAGAAGACCCTTCAAGCTACCACCAGAAGACCTCAAGCCCCCACCAGAAGACCCTCCAAGCTCCCCACCAGAAGACCCCAGCTCCCCTGCAGAGACCTCAGCCCCCACCAGAAGACCCCAAGCCCCCACCAGAAGACCCCAGCTCCTCAACAGAAGACTCAAGCCTCCACCAGAAGATCTCAAGCTCCCCACCAGAACTCAAGGCTCCCCACCAGAAGACTCGCTCTCCCACCAGAAGACCCCTGCTACTCCACCAGAAGACTGTTGCTACCACAGAAGACCCTGGCTCCCACCAGAGACCTCCAGCTCCCCACCAGAGATCTCTTAAGGTTACCCACCAGAAGACCTCAAGCTCCCCACCAGAAGACCAAGCTCCCCACCAGAAGACCTCAAGCTCCCCACCAGAAGACTCAAGCTACTCTCACCAGAAGACCCTCAAGCTCCCACCAGAAGAACCTGCTACTCACCAGAAGACTAAGCTACTCACCAGAAGACCCTGCTACTCACCAGAAGACCTCAAGGTCTCCACCAGAAGACTCTTCTACTCACCAGAACTCAAGCCACTCACCAGAAGACCTCAAGCTCCCCACCAGAAGCCTCCCAGCTCCCCACCAGAAGACCTCTGCTACTCACCAGAAGACCTTAAGCTCCCCACCAGAAGACCCCAAGCTCCTCACCAGAAGACCTCCCTGCTACTCACACCAGAAGACCAGCTCCCCACCAGAAGACCCTGCTACTCACCAGAAGACCCCACTCTCACCTCCAGAAGACCCTGCCCCCACCAGAAGACCTCAAGCCCCACCAGAAGACCTCAAGCTCCCACCAGAAGACCTCAAGCTCCCCCACCAGAAGACCCTCAAGCTCCCCACCAGAAGACCTCAAGCTCCCACCAGAAGACCTCACTAAGCCTCGCTTCCCACCAGAAGACCTCAAGCTCCCCACCAGAAGACCTCAAGCTCCCCACCAGAAGACCCTGCTACTCCACCAGAAGACCTCAAGCTCCCCACCAGAAGACTCCTGCTACTCACCAGAAGACCCTCAAGCTCCCCACCCAGAAGACCCTCAAGCTCCCCCACCAGAAGACCTCCTGCTACCCACCAGAAGACCTCAAGCTCCCCACCAGAAGACCCTCAGCTCCCCACCAGAAGACCTCAAGCTCCCCACCAGAAGACCTCAAGCTCTCACCAGAAGACCTCAAGCTCCTCACCAGAAGACCTCCGCTTACTCACCAGAAGACCTCAAGCTCTCACACCAGAAGACCTCAAACTCCCACCAGAAGACCTCCTCCCCACCAGAAGACCTCAAGCTCCCACCAGAAGACTCCTCGTATTCCACCAGAAGACCTCAAGCTCCACCAGAAGACCTCAAGCTCCCACCACCAGAAGACCTGCTACCACCAGAAGACTCCAAGCCCCACCAGAAGACCTCTGCTAGCTCTCACCAGAAGACCTCTGCTACTCACACCAGAAGACCTCAAGCTACTCACCAGAAGACCCTCAAGCTACTCACACCAGAAGACCTCAAGCTCCCCACCAGAAGACCTCAAGCTCCCCACCAGAAGACCTCAAGCTCCCCACCAGAAGCACCTCAAGCTCCCCCACCAGATCTGCTCCCCCACCAGAAGACCTCAAGCTCCCCACCAGAAGACCTCAAGCTCTCCACCAGAAGACCTCAAGCTCCCCACCAGAAGACTCCTCAAGCTCCCACACCAGAAGACCTTGCTACCCACCAGAAGACCCTCAAGCTACTCACCAGAAGACCTCATGCTCTCACCCAGAAGACTCTGCTTACCCACCAGAAGACCTCAAGCTCCCCACCAGAAAACTCTCAAGCTACCCAACACCAGACACTCTCAAGCTCCTCCACCAGAAGACCTCAAGCTCCTCACCAGAAGACCTCAAGGCTCCCCACCAGAAGACCTCAAGGCTCTTCACACCAGAAGACCTCAAGCCCTCACCAGAGAGAACTCAAGCTACTCACCAGAAGACCTCGCTACTCACCAGAAGACCTTGCTACTCTCACACCAGAAGACTCCAAGCTCCCCACCACCAGAAGACCCTCAAGCTCCCACCAGAAGACCTCGCTACTCACCAGAAGACCCCTGCTTCCCCCACCAGAAGACCTCAAGCTCCCCCACCAGAAGACCTCAAGCTGCCACTCCACCAGAAGACCAAGCTACTCTCCACCAGACCTCAAGCTACTCTCCACACCAGAAGACCTCTGCTACCACCACCAGAAGACCTCAAGCCTCCCACCAGAAGACCTCAAGCTCCCCACCAGAAGACCTCCAAGCTCCCACCAGAAGACCTCAAGCTCCCACCAGAAGACCTCAAGCTCCCCACCAGAAGATCCTCTGCCTCCACCAGAAGACCTCAAGCTCCCCACCAGAAGACCTCAAGCTCCCCACCAGAAGACCCTGCTTCCCAGAAGACCTCCAAGCTCCCCCACCAGAAGACCTCCTAAGCTACTCACCAGAAGACCCAAAGCTCCCCACCAGAAGACCTCAAGCTCTCCACCAGAAGACCCTGCTCCTCACACCAGAAGACCTGCCTCCACCAGAAGACCTCAAGCTATCACCAGAAGACCTCAAGCTCCTCACCAGAAGACCTCAAGCTCCCCACAGAAGACCTCAAGCTACTCACCAGAAGACTAAGCTCACCAGAAGACCTCGCTCCCCACCAGAAGACCTGCTACTCCACCAGAAGAAGCCTGCCTCACCAGAAGACCCTGCTCCCCACCAGAAGACCTCAAGCTACCTCACCAGAAGACCTCGCTTCTCCACCAGAAGACCTCCGGGCTCCCCACCAGAAGACCTGCTCCCCAACCAGAAGACCCCAAGCTTCCACCAGAAGAGACCTGCTCCCACCAGAAGGACCCTCAAGCTCCCCCACCAAGAAGACCTCGCCTCACCAGAAGAACCTGCTTCCACCAGAAGACCTTCAGCTCTCCACCAAGACCTGCTACCCACCAGAAGACCAAGCTACTCACCAGAAGACCTCAAGCTCCCCACACCAGAAGACCTCAAGCTCCCCACCAGAAGACTCAAGCTACTCTCACCAGAAGACCTCAGCCTCCACACCAGAAGACCTTCCCCACCAGAAGACCTCAGCTACTCACCAGAAGACCTCAAGTCACCAGAAGACCTCAAGCTCCCCACCAGAAGACCTCAAGCTCCCCACCAGAAGACCTCAAGCTCCCCACCAGGAATTGCTTACTCACCAGAAGACCTCAAGCTCTCACCAGAAGAACCTCAAGCTTCCACCAGAAGACTCCTGCTACTCTCCACCAGAAGACCTCAGCTCCCACCAGAAGACCTCAAGCTACTCACCAGAAGACCTCCTGCTACTCACCACCAGAAGACCTCAAGCTATCACACCAGAGCTCAGCTCCCACCAGAGACCTCGTTTTACCCACCAGAAGACCTCAAGCTCCCCCACCAGAAGACCCTCGCTCCCCAATCAGAAGACCCTCAAGCCCCACCAGAAGACCCCAAGCTCCCCACCGAAGACCTAAAGCTACCCACCCAGAAGACCTCAAGCTCCCACCAGAAGACCCTGCTACTCACTAGAAGACTCTCTCTCAAGCCCCCACCAGAAGACTCCAGCTTCCCACCAGAAGACCTCAAGCTCCCCACCAGAAGACCTCAAGCCCCCACCAGAAGACCCCCAAGCCCCCACCAGAAGACCTCAAGCTACCCACCAGAAGACCTCAAGCTCCCACCAGAAGACCCTTCAAGCTCCCACCAGAAGACCTCAAGCTCCCACCAGAAGACCTCTGCTCACCCACCAGAAGACCTCAAGCTCCCCACCAGAAGACCTCTAGCTACTCCACCAGAAGACTTCGCTACCACCGAAGACCTCAAGCTCCCCCACCAAAGACCTCAAGCTCCCCACCAGAAGACCTCCAAGCTTCCCACCAGAAGACTCCAGCTACTCTACCAGAAGACCTCAAGCTCCCCACCAGAAGACCTCAAGCTCCCCAATTGCAGAAGACCTCAAGCTCCCCACCAGGAAGACTCTGGGTTCCCCACCAGAAGACCTCAAGCTCCCACCAGAAGACCTCAAGCCCCCACCAGAAGACCAAGCTCCCCCACCAGAAGACCTCAAGCCCCCCAAGAAGACCTCAAGCTCCCACCAGAAGACTGCTCTCCAAGAAGACTCGCTCCCGAGAAGACTCCAAGCTCCCCACCAGAAGACCCTCAAGCTCTCACCAGAAGACCTCAAGCTCCCCACCGAAGACCAAGCTTCCCCACCAGAAGACCTCAAGCTCCCCACCAGAAGACCTCGCTTCCACCAGAAGACCTAAGCTCCCACCAGAAGACCTCAAGCTCCCCACCAGAAGACCTCAAGCTCCCCACCAGAAGGAAACGAACTCATCATTGGTCACTTCCTCTGTGTATTCTTACGCTGGTGTATCTCGAGTCTCTGGTAGCTTCAAGAACATGTTTATACGTCACTTCATTCAAGACTTTAAAGAATATTATTACTCTGAAAACTTTCTGTATCTACTTAAAGAAACATTACTAGTAGTGTGACCGCTCTGTGGGACTACTTTGCTGGTTATAATTTTCAATTTCAATTGTTTATTTCTTGATAGAGGAAGCGGGATCCTAGTGCTGTCACTAGGTACCCCTGTACAATGACACCAGAAGCATCTGCGAAGTGTACATGATATACATTATAAATATTTTACTAAAGCTGATATTCCTTAACACATAATCAATGTTATTTACATAATATCTGGCCAGTATTGGGAGGATCATCGTCTCCTCAGTCGTGGAGGTCCTGTGATACCACGTTGTGTGTGGGGACATCTTAGGAGGTAGTGGATAAGGGCGGCTGTCGGGTCTTCTGCATAATGCACAAGAGCGTTGCTCAGGGGATGCTGGTTATAATTATGGCAGAGTAATACAGGTACTGCCATACTTTCTCAGGGATAGGGTGACTGTACTTTTGTTACATACATACATACATACATACATACATACATACATACATACATACATACTGTACATTACATTACATACACAACATTACAATCCCCATTCCTCATCAGTCTTCCTCCACCTCCCCAGTCACGTCTCGCGCCCTGGCAGGTGATGGTATAGGGGAGGTGGAGGAGAGAAGAGCCAACAAGCAGCTGCAGGCGATAACAGATCAATGGAGGACGGAGCTAACACCTAACCTAACCTCAAGTATTGTACCAACCCTTCACCCACCCCCGTCCCCCTCCCATTATGTACCAATTAAAATAAAACATCTGAACACTCCACTAACTAATTAACCGTGAAGCTTGAACCGCCATTCACCTGCGACACACAATACCTTATGAGAGAGAGAGAAACAATCTTATTCCTACCATCAACCACCTAACACAATGACCTTCCACCCCATTCCCTTCCTTCCACCCTCCCTCCCTTCCACCCACCCTCCCTCCCTTTCCTCCCTCCTTCCACCCATCCTCCAACCCGCCCTCCCTCTCTCTGCCTTCCCTCCTTCCACCCTCATTCACTCTCACCCACCCTCACTCCCTCCTTCCACCCTCCCTCCACACCTGCCACAGATTCTGACCCTCGTGAGCCCAAATTGTCCAGCAGGTAAATCCCATTCAATTATTCATCCCGGGCCAGATGATCGGTTAATCTCGGGTGATTAGTGTTCACCTCTGGTCTGGGTCGACTTGACCAGATGCCGTAACAAACAATCGCCGTATAAACAAGCTGGTTGGCGGTTTGTGCTGATCTTATTAAGGGGATTTGGGGGTCAGGTAATGATCAGGTCATTAACTAATCGATATTCTATTGAAGCCACACATATAGGTACAGCTTCGTTAATCCTAAGTACAGGTTGATAGTAATGTGTTAACACCTCTGATGGAGTGAAGATGGATGAATCACCGTAAGATTAGCCTCCCAACTTATTTTACCTTAAGAGTAACCAAATCAAACCTAACCTAATCTAACCTAATCTAACCTAACCTAACCCCCTTCTCCTAACCCTTAGCCTGCACCCCCCTTATAACACACACTACCTCCCCTGGCGACGCTCGTGTTGCCTGCCTTACACTTATAAACTGACAATTGGTGGTGCTATTTCACGACTCGAGTCACCGCCTGCCACCACCACACATGTACTCTCCCTGCCACCACCACACATGTCCTCCCTGCCACCACCACACATGTACTCCTCCCCACCACCACATGTCCTCCCCGCCGCCACCACCACACTGTCCTCCCTCCTGCCACCACCACATGTACTCCCTCCTGCCACCACCACACATGTCTCCCCCAGCCACCACCACACATGTCCTCCCCTGCCACCACCACACATGTACCCTCCCCACCACCACACATGTCCTCCCTGCCACACCACACATGTACTCCTCCCCACCACCACACATGTCCTCCCCGCCACCACCACACTTGTCCTCCCTCCTGCCACCACACACATGTCCTCCCTCCTGCCACCACACACACATGTGCTCCCTCCTACCACCACACCACACATGTCCTCCCCCCTGCCACCACCACACTTGTCCTCCTCCTGCCACCACCACACATGTGCTCCCTCCTGCCACCACCACACATGTCCTCCCCCTGCCACCACCACACTTGTCCTCCCTCCTGCCACCACCACACATGCTCCCTCCTGCCACCACCACACATCCTCCCCTGCCACCACACACATGTGCTCCCTCCTGCCACCACCACATGTCCTCCCCCCTGCCACCACCACATGTCCTCCCCTGCCCACCACCACATGTCCTCCCTCCTGCCACCACCACACATGTCCTCCCTCCTGCCACCACCACACATGTCTCCCTCCTGCCACCACCACACATGTCCTCCCTCCTGCCACCACCACACATGTACTCCCTCCTGCCACCACCACCTTGTCCTCCCTCCTGCCACCACCACACTTGTCCTCCCTCCTGCCACCACCATGCCTCCCTCCTGCCACCACCACACATGTACTCCCCTCCTGCCACCACCACACTTGTCCTTCCTCCCTGCCACACACACATGTCCTCCCTCCTGCCACCACCACAATGTACTCCCTCCTGCCACCACCACACATGTACTCCTCCTGCCACCACCACACATGTACTCCCTCCTGCCACCACCACACATGTCCTCCCTCCTGCCACCACCACACATGTCCTCCCCTGCCACCACCACACATGTCTCCCCCCTGCCCACCACCACACATGTCCTCCTCCTGCCACCACCACATATACTCCCTCTTGCCACCACCACACTTGTCCTCCCTCCTGCCACCACCACACATGTCCTCCCTCCTGCCACCACCACACATGTACTCCCCTCCTGCCACCACCACATTGTCCTCCCTCCTGCCACCACCACTTGTCCTCCCTCCTGCCACCACCACACATGTCCTCCCTCCTGCCACCCCACACACTCCCTCCTGCCACCACCACACTTGTCCTCCCTCCTGCCACCACCACACATGTCCTCCCTCCTGCCACCACCACACATGTACTCCCTCCTGCCACCACCACACATGTGCTCCCTCCTGCCACCACCACACATGTGCTCCTCCCCTGCCACCACCACATGCTCCTCCTGCCACCACCACATGTCCTCCCTCCTGCCACCACACACATGTACTCCTCCTGCCACCACCACACATGTCCTCCCTCCTGCCACCACCACACATGTCCTCCCTCCTGCCACCACCACATATCCCTCCCCTGCCACCACCACACTTGCTCCTCCCCCGCCACCACACATGTCCTCCCTCCTGCCACCACCACACACATGTACTCCCTCCCCACCACCACATGTCTCCCTCCTGTCACCACCACACATGTCCTCCCTCCTGCCACCACCACTTGTCCTCCTCCTGCCACCACCACATGTCCTCCCTCCTGCACCACACCATGTCTCCCTCCTGCCACCACCACATGTCTCCCTCCTGCCACCACATGTCCTCCCTCCTGCCACCACCACATGTCCTCCCTCCTGCCACCACCACACATGTCCTCCCTCCTGCCACCACCACACATTGCTCCTCCTACCACCACCACACTTGTCCTCCCTCCTGCCACCACCACACATGTCCTCCCTCCTGCCACACCACACATGTACTCCCTCCTGTCACCACCACACATGTACTCCTCCTGCACTTGTCCTCCCTCCTGCCACCACCACATGTCTCCTCCTGCCACCACCACACATGCCTCCCTCCTACCACCACACATGTCCTCCCCTGCCACCACACACATGTCCTCCCCTGCCACCACACATGTCCTCCCTCCTACCACCACCACACATGTCCTCCCTCCTGCCACCACCACACATGTCCTCCCTCCCTACCACCACCACACATGTCCTCCCTCCTGCCACCACCACACTTGTCCTCCTCCTGCCACCACCACACATGTCCTCCCCCACCCCACACATGTCCTCCCCCTGCCACCACATGTCCTCCCTTGCCACCACCACACATTCCTCCCCCTGCCACCACCACATGTCCTCCCCATGCCACACACATGTCCTTCCCCCTGCCACCACCACACATGTCCTCCCTCCTGCCACCACCACATGTCCCCCTCCTGCCATCACCACACATGTCCTCCCTCCTGCCACCCCACATGTCCTCCCCCTTCCACCACCACACACGTCCTATACCCACCACCACAAATGTCCTCCCCTGCCACCACCACACATGTCCTATCCCCTGCCACCACTACACACGTTAACACACCACACACTTATGCAAATTGCTTCCAAGAAAACTTTTGAAAATACTAATGATTTCGAACTTTTCTCACACGGCTACACTACCACCCATCGATCTGTATTTGTCTATCACGATAAAACTTAGCTCAGGTACGTTGTATTGTGGCGACCTGAAGATTATCCTTAAACCTCCCATTCTTCGCTGTCTTAAAATACATTATCTTTAACCGTTTAATCTGTTCGCGTATTACCTTAAATCCTTTCTTTATGACATTTATTTTATTTATTTTTCCTTAAATTCCTTTCATCGTTTCTTTAAATTCTTTCTTAATTGCCTTTAAATCCTTTATAATTACCTTAAAATATTTGTTATTAAAATACTCTTATTACCTAAAGATACTTTCATTATTACTAAATTCGTTCTTTATTACCTTAAACAAAAACTTCTCTTTTAAGGTATTACTCGACAGTGTGATCCCAGGAGGGCTTTTAGGGAGGAGGGAGGGAGGGAGGAGGAGGGAAGGAGGGAGGAGGCAAGGAGGAGCAATGGGAAGGAGGGAGGGGAGGGAAGGGGGAAGGAGCAGGGAAAAGGGGAGGGTGGAGGGACAGGGGAGAAGGAGGAGCAAGAGGAAGGGGAGGTGGATAACGTTAAGTCAACAGTTAGTAAATTATCGACAGACTCTATACAATTGGCCTTTAACCCAACAAACTGTCGGAATTACATTAAGAGCATTGTAACGTTAATCACTTCATCACCCCCCCCCCCCCTCTGAACAGTTTAACCTTTGAGTTTCGTGGCGAGCGAGACTGTTTGTGGTTTTGTAA